TATCGATAAGTCTTCCCGACACCGCAGCGTTAGGGGGCTTTCACGTAAAATCGAACCCCCCGGTATGAAAATGAAGGTTTCAGTACGATTTTGGGTAAAATAAAAAATGTGCTTTATAGGGCTGTCGATGGTGTCCGTCTGTCCGTCTGTGCACACGATAACTGCCAAACGCTTGGACCGATTTGGTTCAAACTTTGACGACATATAACAAGCCTATTGAAAACGGGTCAAATCCAATGACCCCGTAGGGCCAAACCGAGCTGCTCTGCCGCTTTTTAAGATCCTGTTTAGGGGTTTGTTTATCAATTCAGTCTTTTTGTTAACTTCTCGTTCAATATTGTCTAAGAAAGCCTCTTTGCCTTATCCGGATCTGGATCTTTAAAACTATGTCCGTTTTTACCAAACTATGTTTCTCTCATTGAAGGAAACTCAAGACATTTCAATTGCTATAAATTAAACTAGACAAAAATTGAGTATTGCAATAATCTAGCTGTTACTCTGACAGACTATAAATATACCTAAATTTTGTTTTCCCAACGAGAAACAGAAGTTTTTAGTGTACTTATACCTAACAAATAAGCTATCTAGGGAACGAATTTGTGGAGAGCGGCCACAACAAAGACCTCAACTAATTGGTCGCTAAATTTCAAAGCTTAGCGAATGCGCCTTTGTCGCAAAAACGCACGGGATCGTAGACGTTTCGGTTAATTCTGCACCGCGACCATAAATCACGGCACCTCATTTACAAGAAATTCGATTACTATAACACAACAACATTCTCGTATACGAAACGAACATTTCGAGGTAGTAGAGATTTTTCTAAAATGACATTGCGGAATTCGAAAGGAAGATGCCAGGCTACACCCTAGCGTATTTAATCCCTTATACAGAAGGGAGTTCCCCTTGTTTTGATGTCGTGTCCAACAGGAAGTTCAATATATGGGATAAAACGAAATTGTATGATTTTGTTGTTTCCAGGATCGACACATGTCGGCCTTTGATGTATTATTTCAGAATGCTTTGCATAATAGTAATTATTATTTGACAACGGTAAACATCAGGTTAACGGCTACACAATTTATTTTATTCATTTTGACAGTTGAATTGCTTTTAAGGTTCGTGCTCGAACTATAAAGCAGTGTGTCAGTTTTTCGAATTTTATATCTTTTTTAAGATCGACGTGCTTTGTAGTATTGAAAAATGTTAAACGAAGCTTGGCGATAGGTGAGGAGTGATTAAAATATTCCTCGAGATGTTTCATCTCCCTAAGCCCCGTGTTACAGTTGTGGTTAAAAGCCGTAATCCAATAAAGATAAGACGTATAGTCGAACCATTATTCATTTATCACACACCCCATTTCGATTCGTCTTAGGATTGCCTTTCAAATACCGCCAGTTGATTAAAATTATACGTAATCCATCCCTCGTTGAAGAGGTGACTGGCAAATCTGCACTAGGAATTTCAAGTCATAGTTGTCTAAAAGATGGGCACTGTATTTAATATAATAAAAACCATCTTCTAATGCTAGCAGTTTATAAATCTTATTTGTCAATGAGACGTTTTCGCTTTGGTGATTACGCAAATTGGTAGCAATTTTCCATTAGCGAGAATGATCTTACAAACTACACTACCAAAATTATGTTCGTCTAATTATACCCTTCTTTCAATGCCGAGAGATCACAACAAACATAGGGAGAGGGAACCACTGCAATCATAAGATTGTCAGTCACAAATTACCAGATGTTCCAATTCTGTGTCTTTTTGAACATAATTCCCTCAGGTCCTATAAATCAAATTGAAACATTTTATATACCTACAGGATGTAGTGCCTGCTATTTCAAATGCGTAAACAGGAATTTATGTTGACAATACGTTGACAATTGTCATTTTTAGCGTTATTATTTGAACCTAGAGAAACGAGATCCCCCTGCAGTTTTCACAACAGTATATTAGGCATACGGAAACGAAAAATAACGGGGCGGATTTTTGAAAAAACATTTTGGAACACCACAACGACATCGAACTTTTTTTTCAAATAGCAACCTAAAATTTCATGCCTTCTCTCCATGTGGTAGAAGCAGACAGAAATAATAATCCAATTAATTTTAATTAATGGTAGTCTTTTTTTTCCGCCACCCATTTGCAATGTGTTTGTTTGCATATTAAGATTGCCAAAAAATGTATGTCACTCGGTAAATAGATGAGCAAAGGTTGACTTTATGTGGGATCTTGTACTGCTTGAAATGGTTGGTAAAATAAAAACGCGAACTGGACAGCATCAGTGGATCTCCAGCATTGGAAACAAATTTCTTTATAAATTTCGCGAATTTCTAACGATCGCAACCTCTACCGTTCCTAAACCGCTTCCAGTGCAGTTTTAAACTTTGTTGGTGAAACACATTACGCTATACGTTTCATTTAACATATCGAGGGGAGACTACTACAAAGACGAAATTGTTTTGAACTTCAGTATCGATTATGAATTGCTTCCAAATCAAATATATCGGAATGGGCGATTCTCCATTTTACGATAAATGCACCCTTATGCACTGCTAATGGCCATTTGGGGGGTGTTTTATAGCTTTAGTCCTTTTATTGTATAAAGTCAATATTTCGATTTATTTCTACTAATGTTAATTTACTTCCCGCTTCGGTAGTTTCTCTTTGTCGTTTTGTGCTAGATCTGGATTGTTAAATATTGGAAGGAACCTTCGAGATGCAGACCGACATGAAAGGGAATATTTGCTAAATTGTGAGAATCCTTCTAGGAAATGTAAACTCGAATGACTGAAAAGGTCTGTAGGGATTTTCTGCTTTGACTCTGTTCTGTTGTATTTTAGATATTCCAAGTACGATCGCTTATAAGTTGACATTGACGTATAGATGTTTTCTGGTTGATGAAGCTTCTGGAACACATCACTTTTTCAGGGTAAAAGTTACAGTAACTTCGCAATGCAAAAACTATCTTCCTTAAAGAATATCCACTGGGGTTAGACAAACATTTCTAGTCTGCAGATTTCTTTTCGACACACTTCTTATGACTGTAAAAGAAATAGCTACTTGATCGAGAGTGTACTACCACTTTCCACTATACTAAAGGGTGAGCGGGACGTTTATTCTGTATGACATGTGATTTTCTTTAAATTGCAAGCGGAACAGTTGGAAAGCTTTCAGTGTATACTTTGATTCACATTGTGACTTTTCCAACCGCGTTTTTTTTTTTACTGAAAACCGAATTTAAATTACTTATTTATTTTTACCCCGTTTGCAATTTATTGATTGATATTGTCATCCGCTTAAACATTTTCTGATGCGCTATGCTCCTTTCCTATATTTCCTGAAAATTTAATTATTTTATACTATTTGTCTAAACCAGAAATGCAAACTTTTAAAATATCTTCATACTTGAGCTTGCGAGCGGTAAAGGGTAAATATAATAATAATATAATACAATGATAATAATAATATTTTATTATCCAAACAAGTAAATATACTCAATAACAGGACAATATTCCAAAAAATTACAAAATCAAAAGTAGATGCGCGTAGTTTAGTAATTCAGTTAAAAAAACACTTCAAGATATTAATAAGGAAAATAAATTATAACTAAAGCTCATAATATGCGACAATAAATAAGTTAAAAACATTTTTATGTTTAAATTCATTTTTCTGTGAAAAATCTGTGTATCTGTCAGGATAGCATGCACAACTTACTTTGATTTTTATGAGGTTAGGGTGTAATTTTCAAAATGAGTATACATTCACCCTTGACGTTTTGGTCAAGATTTTGACTAAGCCGTGAGGTTTCGGTTTATTTACATAAATTGTTTTAAAAGAAACCTCGCGCCTACCTTCTGCAGTAGTGTCGAATTTGAATTTGACAGTGTAACTTAAAGGTTAAATTTCATTAGCAGTGTAGGTACGTAATATTATTTTAGTATGAGTTAAGCAAAAGTGTTGAGATTCAGTTGCACGAATCTGCGTTTTAATAAGTATGTAATGTGCGGGGAATGAGACCTGCAGCCCTGTGATATATCAGAAACGTCAAACTTAAGTACAGGTTATTTGCCAAAAGACGCTATTTTGCGTTATTTAGTGTGGGCAAAATAACGTTTTCTACAAATAACCTCCACAATTAGGGCTAGAATGTATTTTAAAATCGGGTTGGTCCGATAGTCAAGGGCTAAGTGAATTATAAAAGTGAGTAAAAGAAGAAATTCAGTACCCCAAAAAATGGCAACGTGGTAATAAAGAAAACGTACTTCAGTTGTAGTAGGTTGCGTTGTTTTTACGAGAAAGTTTTAAATTGGTATTTTTGGAGAAATTCTACCAAATTCTACATCGAAAAAAAGCAGTACAGCCATCCCATGATCCAAAACCACTACGTGAAGTGTTCCAAACAGCGGACCTGTAGAAATTAATTTAGGCACGTTTAGATCTGATACTTATTGCACCATATTTATGCTTTTATTTCTAATGTATACTAAGAGGAATATCTGTGTGACATATATATTTTAACTTTCGGCGATAAGTATTGACATGATGATTGACAATGATGGTAGAAACGAGTGTTCAAAGGGTGAAGTTGAAAAATTAATTATACCGCAGTAAACCTGAACTGTGGGACATTATCATTAAATGGTTGAATGGAAAAATTTATAAAGAAAGAGCAAAAGAGAAATTGCTAATAAATTGCACGCTACAAGGGAAGAAATAACCCAAAAAATTCATAACTTGAGAAACCGATTTTTTTTTTAAATAATGACAGTGGACAAAGCACTCGGGTCTCGAACTCGGATCGTGAACGATTTAAGAGATATGAATTTTTTAATGGACCCTTGCATCTTCCAATTTTTAGAGAACAATTGACATTATGTTCAATACTATATCACTATATCATACAGTGAAAGTATGTGTAAGAATTGTCTTATGTTTCTCCAGTTACTGTATTGCGTTGAATGTTATTATCGAATGTTTACTAAAATTTTGTTTTGTTGCAGGTAAGTTGTTCCTTCTGCGGGAGTTATAAGGCCCGATCTACTTACTATCACCTAAAATGCGAAAGTATAGCGAATGCATACGCAAAGAATCCTAAAAAGGGAAAGAACAGCCTCCATCATCTGTAAGTATGTCTTATTCTACCGCAGGGGCTGTATATTAAAAACATTTCGAATGGGGGGAATGTTTACGCTCTTCCCTAACGCTAGTAACGTATAATTCTAAATTGGGCCAATAAAAACAGGGTTTTACAATAGGAAAGACACCCGGTGATAAAAAGGAATAATAATAAGAGAACGGAGGGAAATACCCCTACGTCATGGGTTGGATGGAAAACAAGTCAGTTGAGCATTTCAGCAATAACAAAAACATCCTTGGGATTCCCGGTTATTCAGCTTCCCTTTATAGCGAAGTGTGAGAGAACCGCAAATTTCAGCCTCTTGTTTGTATAGATTTACTGAGATCGCGTTTGAATACAAATCGGTTTCAACTAGGCACATTAGTAGTATGGGTATGAATGGCGTGTATTTGTTTATTATCCATCGATGTACTCCATGTGCGGTTTTGACAGTTATTCTGAAGTTTGGTAGTTTGCAAGTTTGCATTCGGCATTGATCTGTACAAGCAACCAATTTGATCTAAGTGTAGAAAATTAATACTATTGTCTGAACTCTGTTCTGCATTAAAGTCGTGTATCGTGCCAGATTATGTTTATTTGGACTAATTCTAGCAACTTTTACTGGTATCTTTCAGTGCTTACTAGTTGTGATGTTCTCGCCTATATTTTTGCATTGAGAGTGCTAAGTTTCTCCAACACAGTCGGTAGCAGGTCACGTAAGGCAAGCACCATGTTCTCCCAAAAAACATCGCGCCATCGTGTTGCTTATCCAGAAGGGTTAGACTTTGCATAAAGTTAGATGAGGTGTTCATGATCCATGGCTACTGAAATGGCGTCGAATGGCAACGAAAACACGACGATTCCCACCACTCCCCTCCTCACGGCTGCTTGACTTTCTGCCGCTCCCTGTACGACTGACGTAATTATAACCTCACAAATAATAAAAAATGTTTAGAAAAAAAAGTGAGAGTTCACACGATAATTAAACACAACAATGAATGATACAGTTACAGGTAAAGAAAATACTGAATGATTATTCTTTCACTGGAACCTGCCAGTAGGTGGAATTAATGTCGATGGAACTGGGGACTCGTTCCTCTAAGCTTTTTGAAATTAACATTATGCGCGATTTATGAAAGATTTTTTTTTCTCCATTACGAAGCATTATTATTGTTTACGGTTTACTACTTGTCGAAGAACCCCCGTAACATTTGAGGCGATTTAATGCATGGCTTCAATAATTGATGGAATTTAACCGCGCAGAACTGACAGCGCCTTGATTCTTGGGTGTCCATTTTCATGTCTTTTTTTCTTCGTATGCCGCATCGAAGTACACGGGGTTGGAATTCGTTATTTGGGAATTCCGAAGTTATTATTTGGAGGATATAGGTACATAAGCGTTTTTACCATTTTGTCGTAAGTACCGCCATGTTGCGTTTCGTTTATTTATAGTGTACCTGCTTTAGATTTCGGCTGTAGCTGTTGTATGATAATTTCCATCGACCATCGTGGCTTCATCTACGATTAGCTCTCTCTATAAAATGTATCTAAAATGTTATGTCATCAAAGAAGGGGGGTTACCTTTGATTTCCATACACGTTTTACGTTACATACTAATTCTTCTCCGACGTTTTGTAACCTTGGGTTAAATTCACCATTACCATTATTAAGTTATGATTGAGTTTAAAACGCGAATATTGATGGACACCACCACTTCCTTCTGAATGGATTGGCCAATTAAGGATGGTACCTTGTATAGAAGCAGATTGTTTATAAAACGTTCTTTGGCCTAAATTTGAGGTTAGGAACAAGATATCGAGATGCGGTTTTCGCGAGCTGGTTTAGGCATCATTTAGTTACTTTTTCATGAAAAAAAATCATACAATAATTTTTTTGAGAACATTAACAATTTCTGTCGGAACGTCGAAAAAAGTCCTCTAGCGGCGACATGTGAAACTAACAAAACTTTAAATATTATAATATTTGTAACCCAAGAATAGCTCTTTTCAACTAGCCTAAGTTTGTTAAAATCGGTTCAGCCGTTTCGAAGATACAGACTGTTTTTACGGAAACCTTTGTATACCCCTCACCACTATTTTTGGACATACAGCAAAAATTGTCAAATAAAAAAGGTTCAGATTGTCCACGACGTTTACGACCAGGGATTTTTTGTTAGGTTAATATAGCGGAATGCACAGAAATATCACCCCTAATGGCCATTTCAGAAACATGAAAATATTTTCCAGGTTTTTCTTTGGGCCGTTTTAATTATGACTCTTTTGCTTTTACGATGGATAGGTTCTCAGATACAGTACTTCGCATTCTTAGTTGGCCACCCTGTACGTACAGTTTAATTATACACTTGATGGATTTAGCACAATGTTATAGATTTTTATTGCAAATAAAATATACCACCCGGGAGTCTAGGGGGTATGGAATACTCATCAGCCAAGAGAGAGTAACACAAAATTAAACTACTCTCTTTTGTGGGTGGGGGGGGGGGTCTAGACCCCCTGGTGCTGTGTTCCCCCTTTACTCAGAATAAAATCTATCACTGTACAGTTCAATGATAAATTCTATTAATTTAGCACAACGTTATAATTTATTATTGTATATAAGAGGGCATATATGCCACCGGAGGGTCTGGGGGTATAGACTACCCTCCAGCCAGAGAGAGGGAGACAGTAACTCAACATTAAACTACTCTCTTTTGTGGCCACAAAACGTCAGGACACCGATATTCGTTAACGTACGTTTCCAAACGTAATACTTTAAGATCCCCTTCTGCCGCTTCGAGATTTTCGCCTCTTTGACTGCGCCCTCGATGGTTTATCCCAGAATGGCAGAAAAACTGGAATCTTGGACTCCGAACTTTACTGTCTAGTTTTTCACCAACTGATTCCTCTTTCTCAACCTGACTTACTCAGTCCCTAGTCCTATTTTAATTTTTCAAAACGCCCCAAAATGGTATTAATTACTTCAGTCAGCCATCTTTAACAATTATCCAATCTGATTGGTTTAACCTAGTGAATTACGCGCGCTTTAGGGCTATTAATCGAAACACACGGCCATTTTAAAACTGCAACTAGCTCTATAGTCCCGTAAATCACATTTGGATTGTATTGCCACCCGTCAGACTGGCGTTGGTAACTTTCCCAGGTGATTAACCGATCGTGATGAATCCGAAAACCGGCAAAATATACATTGCCAATTTTGTTAAGAACCCATTGACTTAAAAATTTGAAAAATATTCCAAAAAAATTGGAATAAACAGCCCTCTAATAGAATCACGTCACTCACAAACCGCGGAACCCTAACGAAATTCAACCCTATCACAATAATTTGAAGCAACACTCTCAAACTCAATCTAACCACCAAACTCTTATTGAAATGCGCCCACACCCACGTGTCGTAATAACCCAATGCGTACCGTATGTATTATGAAGAAGTTCTGGCCTTGACAAGTGGGTGGAAACCACCCTAATCTTGCACTGATTGCCTTGAATCCGCGTGGAATGGGGGACGTATAGTTGGAACCTAAAACTCGTATAAAATGTACAGAATCAATCGCGAAAAAAAAACTTAAATATTTCGAAAACACCAGTCCCCCTCGTTACACGGTTCCGTACCTCGAGAGTAGCTCTCAGGATCACCCTTTTGGTACTTCTAGCTATAAGAATAACTGAAGACTGTCACAAATGGAGGAAGTGGTCAAAATCGGTAAAATCTTGTTAAACCACTAACACTCTTTCTCCCCAAAACTTCAGCAGTCAGGTTGCGGCTGACTGGCCGCTGTGTAGCCGCCTTGGACACGCAGTGCCTCTGCGATAGGGTTACTTTACTGCCCGCCCCTACACGGGAAAGTGTATACAGAAGACTCCTGTTACTTGGCAATGTTGCAGTGGATTTTTCGTCTAAAATTTCCAGATTTAACATGCGTGAGTGTAAAGTTACCAGATTTTTTCCTGTGTTCACAAAAAGCGCTACGAGAAAGCGTCCTCTTATGTTCTTGAATAATGTTACAAAGTTACATTTTCTCACACTCAAACACTCAATTAAAATTTGATCAAAGCGATACGAACAATGACGTTTCTGAAAAGTGAAATTAGTTTCCGGATTAAATTCTGTTAATCGTTGCCGCTCTCGCACGCTCGTTTTTACATTTTCAATTTGCCAAAACCAAACTTTTCCATTAACCCTATTCCGAACTTTCGACAAACCTTTTTTTCTGGTACTTTGTCGCGGAGGAACTTTTTTGAGAAAGGTTCTAAATGAATTTTGCGACTGGCAGATAATCGACGTTAGGTATATATAATACGACAGAAATCGCGCATTTTTCACAAACAATGGAAAATCGTTTTTGGCGTGTACGGAATAGGTTTTTACATGAGAATCGTTCCATTCTTGTTATACGGTGAATACTGGCAATTATTACGCTCTGAATCATCTCGGCGATTTTCATTACCAGCCCTCGGAATGGATTTCTTTTATACTGCCCTAATTTACCCCACTAAATTACGGCTTCAACTTGGTTCATCTCTCGGTATCCAATATGGGAGTAGTGTAATAAATTGCGATATCAGATGAGTCATTATATGAGATTTTATTAGGATTAGATCGTGATCTGTTTCCAAGTTTACTTAATGAAGCATTCAGCCATGTCGTTTTTGAAAGGCTACTATTTCAAACCAGAAACTCTTGATATTTAACTGAACTCATTAGGCAAGTTTTCAAGAGCTTCGGTTGTCTACGTGTGTTATAATGAACTTTCGAGGCAACTAGACAACTTAAATTATGCCAACATTTTTGATATGGAATAATAAGATGTCGCGTGGGCTTCTGTAAAGAGAGTCTAACAAATAGCGCATAGGAAAGTTCTCCATCAGTTCTAGGTTACCATTCAGGAAATCTTCCTTTGCTCCCGAAAACACAAACAAGTACTATTGTAAGTATTTTCCCACTTTTCGTTACAACAAAATGGGCTTTGTTGAGAAAAGAATCCTGTTACGATGTCGTTGTCGGACTTTCCTTTGTTAGCTAGATAGTCTGGTATACAAAAACCTATACGTTTCATTACTAAATATTATTTACAGTGTCTCGTAGATGAAACCTATTAGTGTTGACCTCACTTCTCCTTGAAAACCCTCGCTTTTAGGGGAAAACTCCAAAAAAATGAGGAAAAAGTCACTGAATTAACTTTCTTATTTATGTAGCGCTTTATTTAAAATCCAAATTAAATTACGCCATCTAGGTATTTCCTTTGTATGTTTGGTTAAAATGTAAGTTAATTCTATAGTAGATTTAGCATTACAATAGTTCTTTATTTTCGCCGCTAGAGGCCATCCGAGTGTTATAGGTTTTACTCTATAGAGAAACTGTAAATCACTGTAATAGCATTGACTTTGCTTCATTCTTTCGCAGCTAGAGTTCGTGCAGATGTTTCCGTGACGTTCTCTTCTTCTACTTCTGCATTCCTTATACAAAAACAGCTTCGATTATTTACTTGTAAGAAAGAACGTACAGGCCGCCATTAAGTTTTCAATATTTCCTTGCCAGTAATATGTCATTTTCTTGTATATGTAAATAACTATTCTCTGATAATTCTCAAGAACTGTGGAACTATTGTATGTGTACGTAAAACCGCAGTAAAATAGTATATTAAGATACAAGTGTATAATCAAGTCTTTAAAGCACGCGCAACGAGTTTAAGGGCACGACGCAAAGCGGAGTGCCTTTAACGTTGCAAGTGCTTTAAAGATCAATTATACACGTGTATCTTATAGTATTTTTTATTATACCTGCAGTATAATTTAAAAATAGGAAATACAATGAAGTCATATTGACGTTATACTCGAATACATGTCTAATTAAGTGGGATGGGTGTTCGTAATTTCACGATTGCCATGGAAATGTCACTTGACGTTTGCTTATAAAAATCTGTCTTTGTGAATTAAACGATTTCCGTTGAAAAAGATAATACACCGTCCATTAAATCGCTTGTTGTAAAATCTAAACAAACGTTGGTAGGTGTAAAATCCAACTCCAGTAACGCCTATTATAAAGAATATGAAAAGTTGTTTCCATGGATGAATAGGAAGTTACTTACGAATACAGTCTTAAATGCATCCATAATGCTGGCATATATGAAGGAAATGTCAAAGGTATTTAAATCTTCTATATTTTGGTGCATTCATTCAAAACTTTAAAGCAATGCTGCGATTAAAAAGTGGAACAGATTTGGAAGCATACCCTAAATTACGCGCGTTTGTGAAAGCTTCAACCAAAGGATAGGTACAAAAGCCAAAGAAATGTTCCGCATTTACAGAAAGCGACCTAAGAGGATTTTTTATTTCATCCAGATGACAGTTTCAAAAGTCATACTTGAAGTATCGTTACTTAGCAACTTTAAAGCACGTGTGTTTTAAAGGCCCTTTTTCGCACGCATTTGAGTGTTTAAAACGGAGATTGTGATTCAGGTATAATAAAAAATTGAATTTTCGAAAATTCTTATTTTAGCCTTTTCTAATGATCTCGATTTTTTAGGCTAAATATGCGAAACTTTTTTTTTAAATCACTCTATAACTAATTGTGAGTACAAGGAGAATGGGCATCAGAAATTATGTTTTTTTTAGAAATGAGGGGCCGTGGAAGTTGGTACCGTCACGTTGCATTGCCGAAGTTCTCCGAAGTTTCCATCTGAATCACTGGAGCCACTTCCAGTGTTCTAACTTCCAGTAAGTTCAGAAAGAGGTCGCTGAAGTGTAGAACACCCAACGCTCTCCATGGACATGTAGTGGCAATGCGCGCTGTTGCCATAGTGAAGTCGATTTTCTATTATCCCCTGGATTGTTTATTTAAATCTCCGCCCTTGAAATGTCCAGCTGAAGTTTGTGTAAATTTTTGTTAGTACAGGATCTTGTTTAACATTTTCTCTTATCTCTTCTATATATCACTAAAAAGGCGATCAAGTTCCATTTTCCTTTACACGTTCTTGGATGTAAAAGTGATCACGTGTTCATGCTAAATTTGTTCCTTGATCTAAAATTCATCTTTACCACATAATGCATTGCTGGTACATTCTCCTGTTTAAAAATATACATACTCGAATTCTAAACAAATTTTTAATCCACCAAAAAGTCTAGTATTACTGAAATTAAATGCAAAATTCGCAATACCGAATCTGTTCATTCACTAGTTTCACGAGTCGATTCCTTTAGGAATATTAAAATTCCTTTAAACAACATTATTGATGCAAGTTTCTAAAAATAGCTGGCCACTACAAGTCAAAATTATCGATCTCACGAGTCACGAGTAATCTAACTAAAAAAAACTGTTCTAAACTGTTGCCTCTGATGTGTCTAGTTCCCTTGAAATAACCAAGACTTGCAATGGTCTTTACTGTGTTCTTCCCTCGAGAGGCCTGCCTGATTTTGGATAATTTTGTATGGATTCTCTATTCCAACAAACTTTGGGTCAGAATTTTACTTGATCATATAATGGATCATTCTCACGATATACAGCAACGGCAGTTCAGAAACTTAGGGATGCTAATTTGTGTACCTGGAAAACACCAGAAGAATTAGTGTCTCAAGTTGAGCAACGATGCAGAAATAACGATAACAGAGTGTGAAATATGCTTTTACTAATAAAAGTAACACATTTTATGTCATATTTCCCTGTCCGAAATTTTCAGCTCTTACTGCACCAAAGAGCAACAAAGCAGTCCACACCGACATTCTCCCGCGATCACCGGAAAATCACCACAGTCGTGCAGGCAGGCAGTCAACGGTATTGGTCCGGTATCACCCGCACAATTGGCATCTAAGCACATCAAATTTTGATTTTGTCAACTATTGATTAACATTTTGTACTTACAATGAGATCGAACTTTTACTCCCATTTGTGCTACTCTAGTAGTGGTTTTCCTAGCAAAAATGCAGTACCATATGGAAAAAACGAGTAGTAGTATTTTTAGGTTCATCTTATCGCCAACCATTTAAACTTGGCACAGTAAATGTTATGGATCAGCCTAGTGCTTGTTATGGTATTGCCAACACTAATTTGCGCGAATAATTACTTCTTGAAAACATTATTACGTAAAATCTATTCCAAGGATTGTACTTCAAAAGTTATTGCTTTTGCTATTTTTTGATTTCGTACTTCCAGTGTAACAGTTTTCCTTAATTTGAAACTACCCCTTCCAGCTAACAAAAGCTAGCACCGTTGTTAGCACATTATACTACCACTTTCATTTAAATGTATTGTGACTACTCACTCCTAGACTCAATCATTATGAGGGTATGTAATTGTTACGTATTTTAACTCGTATTTTAATGTACACCAAAATGGAATCATCCTTAATTGTAGTTCCCCTCCCTTTAATCCTACCGTATACAGCGGAATCAGAAGTTGTGGGAAATACCAAATATGATCCATGGAATACATGTTGCTGCTTCGTTGATGCAGTTTGAAGGATCAGATTGAGAACTGTCAGTGAAATAACTAAGCGCAAGGCCAAGATTTGAGAACAATTGGCGCAATGTAAATTTCCCTATGGCCCATTTTAAATAAATCAACGCCTTTACATTGTCTTATGGCCCGTCTTAAAAAAACACCCTATATAGGAACATGCTTTGAACTAATGCATGGAATTAAAATGAATATTGAATGTCAAAGTATGTGCGAATAAAGGGGCGGACAAAAAGGAACAAACGAACAACAAATATTGTGTATCTTTTATTGTATCATGCTACTACCACCTACTACCTCTCTTTCCACAACTACTTCTTTCCGTCTACAGCAGGACAACACATGAATCCATCCGCGCAGTCGTGACCTTGAAGAGCCAGATGGTCTTGATCATCCCCACAGTCGGGCAAACAAGTGGTATTCGATACTGGCTTGCCATTGATAACACAGTTACCATCTTCTCAACAAAAAAGTGTCACTTATTAGTGAGCTAAAGTTTAGTACTTACAGAGCTCTGGCTGATCTAGGTCCTTATTAAGGTCTAGTACGAATGCTTCTTCGGTATCAGAATCATATGACCGAACTTCCGTACTGGAATTTTTGACACCATCGCCGTAAATTGGGTAGCATATGCAGAATACAACCATAAACATCCACGCAACCTTCATTCTGATTTGATGGCTGTCTTTTCGAGATTAAGTAAACGAATGTAGTGGAATTCGGTTATCGAGTGATTTAAATAATAATAACATTAGTTTTTATCACTTTGCGAAATTTAATTACCCTGTAAAGTTGTTGTGTTATATTAATTAACTTAGAACAAAGGGTCTTTAATGTTTTACAACTTGTGTTATGCTGTTTTAAAATTTGAACGATATTTGAACCTAATTGTCAAAAGTAACTCTGTGCCAAAGGGTAAAAATGAGGTTTCCATTTAAAAAATATCCAATTTGTTGAAGAGAATCTTCACTTAATTTTCTGAGCATCCTGTGTATATATTTTTTTAGAGTTATTACATATTGGGTAAGGCATATGTCTTATACAGATTACAGATTACACTGTGTCCAAGAAAAGTAAGTCTGTCATGAGGATCTCTGAAACCATAGAAGATAAGACGATGATCAAAATTAAAGAAAAGATGCGAAATTAATGAGTTATTATTATGGGAAAAGCAGAAAATTCCGATTACATCCGAAATTTGGCGATTTGGTTTTCTTTTTTTCTGATGTTATTTGAACAGATAAATAGTTATTTACATAAAAGTCAGGAAAATGGTACACTACTGACGAGGAAATATTGAATTACGATGCCCCTTTGGTTCGAGTCAGGTAATGTCATTTTGAACTCACATTTTGAACACAAAGTAATCTTTTCGTGAAAATTCTTGAAATTTTTGATTTAGCAAAGTGCATTCTTTCAATCTCGATAATCCTTCTTAACATGTGCCCTGGCTCAGAGTGCTCAGACAACTTCTTAACAATATAATTTGTTACAACAAAAACGTTTGTGGGTACGCATTAGTCCTTAATTTATATGTTGCATTGCTTTTTCTTAGTTTTGAGAATTACCCTTTTTTAGTTAAAAGTTGTTTAAATAATGTATACGTTGTTTAAACAATGAAAATCTACGATACAAATTAGTCATAGGTTTAGACGCAACGTGAGCTCATATATTTTTAATGACCGAGTAGATGTGACAGCAAAAAAACGTAAGATTTAGTTTAATAAAATTTCAATCGGAAAAAGTGGGGGTGCTATAGCGCCCCCATTTTAATAATCGGTTTTCCGACGGAACTAAGCGGGCACAAATTCTTATTTTTTTTGTAGACACAAATTAGTCTTTAATTAGTATAAAATTGCTACCTCTCCATTCTGCCCTTCCAAGATATTTGATCGTTGTACTTATTATGTATTATTTCGGCCTCGATTTCGGCATGGTTTATTGTTTGACGAGCTCAAGTTATCGCAATATATTATGATTATTACTATTATTATAGGCACATCGTCCTTAATCAGGTATTTTTAACATTGCGATTCGCTGATCACCCTGAGGGTCTGTACAATGTACATACGCAACCCACGAAAGTGGAGCGATTACGTCCTCACCTTTTCGTCCGTCTATCCATCGTTCTGCGCTAGTCCCAAATGGGCTTAACGATCAAAAACTAATTTTGACATCCATCACGTGGTTGCCCAAAATCGGTCAAAATCGTTATTTGTGCACCAATTTTCTTGGGAAGTAGACTATTGCATGATGCTTAAGAAGTGATCCATATAAATTTTTCTTTCTAGCAATTCAAAAAAACAATTAAAGGAGTTCCATGAACATACCTTGATCTTTTAGTAAGCCATTAATTGGCAATACAGTATCAAATCATACTTTGTACCTATCTCGACTGTGATAATAGCCAATTTACATGTTGTTGCTATATGTTGTTTGTTCTTGTTACTGTCCTATACATTTTTTTATGTCTTACTAACCTATCATAGCACATTTTATATCTGTGATACGCGGGCATAAAGTACCACTTTATCCCCTAGGGCATTAAATCACCATAGTAACTCATTTATACTTAATGACATAACAAACAAATATTTTCAAGTCATTGAAAATTAGAATTATTAATTGTCAATACCTACTAAATCACGTGATTGGCCTTATTTCGTATAGTTTCTGGAACTTCTTGCTCATTCACGATGAATTGAATTATTTAAAATTACGTTTGACGTTTGGATGGTTTCAATCACATCAACAAATTCGAACCACGCATACTCGATCAAACATAATGAATTATTTTGTAAACGAATTTTGACAAAGAAAATTATTTGTAAAACATAAAATTGTGTATGTACCACGGGCATAAACTGATGTTTATACTCTCGGGCGACTAAAAAGCTCTCGGGCCATAGGCCCTCGAGCGTTTTAACTCGTCGCCCTCGAGAATATAAACATCAATATTATGCCCTTAATACATAAATAACTAATATGTCCACAGGAAATAAAGATTTTTTTTGGCTAACCAAAATATTTTTACCCAAAAAATGTCAAAATCGTTATTTATGCACCCATTTTCTTGGGAAAAAGGCCAAACTCGATTGCTCGATGCCCAAGAAGTGATCCAGGGCTGCCGTCGAGGGTATGCGGTGTGTGTCCGTGGTTGTCGATCTTTAAAATAATAAAATGCTATGTTTTCCAGTAGATTTTTTAATTCTTGCGTTTCACTGACTCTGAAACATATGTCCCCTGTGGGTTCGGGGATAGAATTGGCCCACTCCCGTCCTGGAGATCGTAAAAGGCGATCAATGGACACTAAAGGTGACAAGTCCAACCTCCTTTTTGTTTCCAACTCTCCGCCATCCCTACTCTCTTATCCTTTTTTCCAGGTACCTTTTATCCACACATCCTTCGTAAAACAAAAAAAACACAGTAAAAGGTCTCGGCCCGCTGGCAGTAGCGGTAAAATGCAAACTGGGACACGACTTTTTTATGACGAGGCTCGAGCACATTTTACGGTGCAGGGATTCGCTCAGGAGCGAGGCGTCCCCACCCCACCCGTTATCAAGCCGCTGTGGGAATTTCCCTTCGATCCTAGAAATAAGCAGAAAAAAGGAGGAGAGCTATCCGTGGTTTCTGTTTGTTGAAAAAATAAAAGGAGATTTCTCTAAAATAAGTCCATTTGTTATAGCAAAAGCGTTATTTCCTTTAATAGGGAAAGTAGGAGAAACAAAAAGGTTAAAGGAATGTGACTAATAAAAACCATAAGCACAGATTAACTATAAATCTTTGCCATAAGTAGTAAACGTTCTAAACGTCTTATGCCGACAAAGCGGCTATGTGACTTTGACTTCCGAGTCAAGCCACATGAAACCTTCAATTTTGCCAAAGGCGTTATCTACATTGTCGTGACTTTATGAACTGCAGCGAGGAAGATGTCATTTATTTTTTTTATGGTCCGTAAAAAGGTACATACCATACTGAGTAGTATCATTGAATAATAAATCAGATTTATTATTCAATGGTAGTATTTTTTATTACGAATACAACGATGCACACAAAAAAACAAAAGTTGGAAGCTGTTGGTTTCAGCAGGATGGTGCACACACAACGACATTATCATACGATGGCAAATATGTCGGAACAGTTTCCAACTTTTGTTTTTTTTTGTGTTACATCGTTGTATTCGTAATAAAAAAAATGCTACTCAATACAGTATGTACTTTTTTTTACGAACCGTATAAAAAAATAAAGAAAATTTCTGCTGTCTTGCAGAGCTCAAAAAGTGGCAATGAGAAGGTGTTTCTTTTATTTTTTCTCATCTGTTCAAAATCAGAAAAAAATTAAAACGATGTCGGCAAATTTCGATTTTTCTGGCTTATCTTCGGAAGTAATCGAAATTTGCTTCGGAGATTCCCATGATAGACATTCTTATTTTGGGCAGAGTGTACCTGTACTTTTGCCAGATGCCAAAATTTGATTTGATTCTGATACGCTTCAGGAGTAAGTGGAGTACATAATTAGTAACCAGAAATGCCAATACATCTCTACTTCTCGCTTTTCAGGGGAATTTTTCCAAAGAACTTCCTAGTCAAAAGTTCCGTTGATCATTTTGGTAAAAGGTTTCCCAAATATCTCTACCCTCCCGTCTCTTCATACTCCATCTGTTTCTTTTTCGGGTGGTGGAGAGCACTATTTAAACACCTTCGACTCGTTCCTCCAGAAGTCGATTTCTGCTGAAATTTTTTACTAATCTGAAATTGTTATAAAAAGTTCCTTATAATGGTACTATACAACAAAATACCTTCCTCCACTGAACTAAAATATTGAAAATACGTAAATCTTTTTCGCTCTTATGTGATCCTAGTACAATAGTTTTTAAAAGAAAGGAATCATATTTCAAACTGTACTAAATAGCTATTTTCCTAATTCCATAAACTTTAAAAGAAAATTTATATCAGGACATAGTGGGTGAGAAGGTTTTTTCGAATGCATCTCTTACTTCCTCGCGTATTTGTGATGTTGATAAATGAAGTTTTCCTAACAAATTTTTTATCTGTTCGTTTTTCAATGGTTTCAATTCAGTTACCTTGACAAGAGAAATTGGCTTTTTTTTTAAATCATGCTAACACTATACAATTTCCCAAAGGAAGAGGAATACCTACATTCTCGCGTTTTTCGATTTCAATGAATAACGTGGCTATGAGCTAGTAGATTCTCTAATCTAACCATTTAGCAATATGCAATATAATAGAAAAACCAGTGATTTACTGAAATTTTATTTTTTCGAATTTATAGGAAATAGTGTGACTACACAAACGAACTATTTTTACGCGTACTCTCTGAAAGGTTGTTCCCGCTCATCAAAGGAACAACATACCTTTCCATTTAGGCAGTTCCCAGGAACGATATCGGTATCATCACAATCGGCCTTGCAGACGCCATGCACTCCATCGTTGGCAGTGTCACAGTGACTAGCTGTGGTCATTAACACCTTAATCCATTCCAAATTCTACTAGTACTTACCATCATGCTCTCGATAAAAAAGGGGCTGAGCCAGATTTCCATTCATCGCCCAGCATATTAAGAATACCGTTAAAATTATTAACTCTCGCATTTCGCGTTTTCTGCACAAATGGGCAGAAGCAAATTGGTCGGCGTGTTATATAGGCACTTTGTTGCGAGAATTAATGGCATATTTGTACATTACTTTGTAATTAAAGCGGCAGCAATTCCGTTTCCACACTT